GTGTGTGTGTGTGTGTGTGTGTGTGTGTGTGTGTGTGTGTGTGTGTGTGTGTGTGTGTGTGTGTGTGTGTGTGTGTGAGTGTGAGTGAGTGAGTGTCACATCTTGGCCTGATTGGGAAGCATATAAAAACAAGTCACAAAACTTATCAAATGCAAAAAATAACAAGTGTCTAAATTTGAGGCCTGGGCCAATGTTACTAATGAAATATATAGCAGTTTAAAAATGATTTAACCCAACTAAAAAATTCATTAATGTGGTAATAATGGATCAAGGTATTGACTTAAAACCATGTTATGATAAAATTGAACAGGAATTATAGATGGATAGTGACTGGTAGGTCTTTTATGATAGATGGATAGTGGCTGGTAGGTCTTTTATTATAGATGGATAGTGACTGGTAGGTCTTTTAATATAGATGGATAGTGACTAGTAGGTCTTTTATTTTATAGTGTTGTCATATGTTCTAGGTTTTGTTTAATTAAAATGTTTAAAAAACACAAATACTTTACTTCATGTTTAAGTCGACAAATAAGATAACACAAATTTTAGGTAATGCTAAAAATAATATATAATTAATGGAAAATGCTGGAATTTATAAACTTCCATGTTAAAATGTTTATATCAGACTAACAAAACATAACTTAAAAAATCATTTAGCAGAGCATAATGGATATGTAAAAAAATGAAAGGACTGAATATTCGGCCATAGCAGAACATGTACAAAAAACACAACATAAGATATCATGGAAAAAACAATCAAAGGGTATTAAGAGCCAATAAGATCTGAAAATCTTTCGAATTAATAGTTTTAAAAAAGATCAATTATTAAACAGAGACAAAGGACTAGTGAATATTTGTGTAAAAATGTTGCAGGACATTCTCCGAGGTTTATACAAAAATGTAAACTTGCACATAGGTCACATGACCTAGTTAAGAAGGAAGAAATATGACACTTGTGTGTTGCAAGTTCGCTCTTGAAGACAACGTGGTAAATTTCAAAAAACATATACAGTCCACATTTTAGAGGCTACAGATTAGCCTGAATTGAAACATGTTTTAATTCTGTATTGATTTTAACACTGTGTATTATTTACTTATTATTTTAACACTATAAACAAGTGCCAAGAAAATAATATCTAAAACATCTACTGTTTGTTGTGAGGTTTCACTGAGTTAACTTCATGTGCTAGATAATACATGAAGTAAGGCAAGTCTAAGTGACATACAAAATAAACCGGTCAAAGTATGTCACCTAAAAAAGGGCAACTGTTTGGAAAAAATAGATTTCAAGCCTATTCACTGACAGGAAGTTTTTATGACTTAACAAACAAAGATTCTGTTAATAGTAACAGACATTTAAATTATTTAAATCAAGACCAGTGTTAGTGATGAGTTAGAATGAAACAAATTTTATGACCTATAGTTTGTAGGTGAAGGCATCGGTATATGTTAATCATATTTAGTTGAAAAGATCTGTTCAGACAGATTAAAAATACTTGTTTCTAACTGGATCACGATGGCATTAAATAAAATGGGTGTCAATGCACTACCCGTGGTAATACCATCAATCTGATCATAAATATCATGAGTTATACAAAGCTTGTAAATTGTTAATGTTAATGACTAACATTATTTAAATTACTTCTAGAATTTTTAACAATCTGAAACTCAAGTAAAAAGAGGTCACATGAGAAACTGATAAGATTTATGATCAAATTGTTGCAATTTTGATGAATGGATTCAAAAAGGTCAAATCCCAAGCACAAAATGTTCTTAAATTAAAATTTAAAGTGCTAAAGAGGGCAGTCTTCCATGCAAACCTTAGAGTGACCATAAATACAATTACATATTTCCAAGAGGTCATATTGGTTATCATCAAGCTTAAGTTAAAGGAAAAATGATTCAATTTAGATTTCTCTGCTTACGGTGGATTAGCCAATAAAAACTTTTATACATAACTAATCCATAGAAATTATAGCATTACCATTATTATCCTTTAAAATAATATATTTCCTCGGTCTTAATTTTTAGAGCTAACTTTCAGTTTTGTTAAGCTCAATTTTAAATTTATTTTCTGCTAGAAAAATCATGAAACAAATTATATATGACAATTCTTGGATAATAAAGGAAATTGGACTAGACTTTTTTAAATAAAGAAAGTATTACCATAGTTTTATTTTTAATAATTAAAAGTTTAGATAATTTATCTACACCAACCTTGATATCCCACAATGAATGTTTCTTAGGTAAAAATTCCAAATTTTTTACAATCCACTGACCCAATAAAAAAAAATATGATGCTCTCAGGAAAGAATGTATGCTAAAGGAAGAAACTTTAATAGCTGGATTATACACATTTTGCGAGTTGCTCAAAAGAGTTTGGAAAGTGAAACCTAACAATTTTGACACCACTTTCGATATTTGTTTCAGTTTTCTTCCTGGTATAAAAAGTGGAAACATATTTTATCTTTCCTCACAAACCAGTGTTTAAAGTTAAACATGTAGGCTATCAAATTTTGTGTTAAGATTACAAAGTATTTTATTTTGGAGTTTATGCTGATAAGTTAATGAGCACTAACCCCATATATACATTTTTTGCACCACTGCACTAACACTAGAATAAGTAAGAATTTACATCTGATTTTTTTAACTAGACAAATGATTACAAAATTTCTTTTTATTAAGTCAAATACTTTTTATGATTAAATTAATTGGAATATATCAGTGTTTTAAGATAATTGATTGTTTTTAGTGACTATTAACCACTTTTTGCCAATGATACAGAGCTAACTCAGTGAAATCTTGCAGTTATTTGATTTCATTTTAATCCTGTTTATAACCATTTTTAGTTCCTTAAATACATAAAACTAAATACCACTGCCTAATAACATAAAAATAATGCTAAACTGACAATAATAATAGTAGATATTTTATTTGCAATAATAAAACAAACATTGATATTAACAATTATTAGAGCCAACAATAATATTGAATATATATAATTAAAGACACTATTAGTTATTACTACAATTAAAAGAAGCAAGTATGAATAATAGCAACAAGATTCCAAGTCAGACAAGATGATGGTACATGCTTTATTTAAAAATAATGTTATTTCGATTTCAAATTCTTCCAAGTTTCTGAATAAAGACAATTTTCACATAAAAAAATCTAATTACTCCTATGACAACCTGATTCTTACATTATCAGTATGTAACATCACTCTCATCATATTTTGTTCCAAAATAAAACTAGTGAATGAAACTGTTTGACTTTCCTAAAGACATGTAGTTTCAGAAATATAAAGTATCTTAATTTTTTATTTACTTAGTTTTATGCATTATCAGCTTTGAAATCTTGGGAAATTACATTAGGAATTGGTTTTAAAAGAAATAATTAAGATACTTTCATCTTCTTCCAGATTGAAACTTCTCATTTTTATATCTTATCACATTATTCTTAAGATCTCGTAAAACATTTTATCATTTCATAATGTGTAAATTGTCTATTTTTAATTACATACTTTCTATATAAACCCAAACAATAAGCACGCATGTGTTTTTTTTTATTTATTTATTCTTAAATAGGATTTCGTGTCCATATATATAAAACATTTAAAACTTGTTTCATAAATGTACATATCTTTATTTCGAGTGTGTCCATATTTTTATCTATTGTGCCGATAAAACCGTGATGTAAACATGTCAGTGTTCAATTGTCATAATCATATCTCACAACCACTCAGGGCATCTTTCTTTTCACTAATTCTAGTGCTGACGCATTGGATCATAACTGTAAAATTGATAGCAAGAAAGTAAATGCATGTGTACAGTACTTGAATACAATTTTTGCTCGATCTTTCTAACAAGTTTATTTTAGCAAATGTTCTTGTACGTTGCTTCACAATACAAAGTACAACTTTCCTATCACTACTAGCAATTGTATATCAAAGTTACAATACACAAGTTTATATAACACCTGCGTGAGCCATGGCTACATGGTAAATACTGTAATAAAAGTTCACCAAAGTAAGCAGATGCCATAAATTACAAAGAAAGTGACTTTACAGCAGTTAAAACATTATTCTAGGTCACCTTGTTCTCATCATAACTGCCCAAAAGCAAGAAATATTGGAAGTTGAAATGCAAGCTCTTTCATATTTCCACCCTTGTTGTGAGAATGTATAGTGTATATGTTCTGTTAGGTGCCCTCCATGCTTCACCTCCTTTTTTTGACATGGATGTGTTTAGTCTTTTTACAATCAACATGGTATTTATTTGTTTTCACATACAGTCTAAGTTTCAAATATATCCAGGGATCTTAAGTGAATAACTACTTGTTTAGTTACTAGTAGAAAGCATGTCATTCAAGCTTGTTTCTTCTCTGCAAGAGCCTGTTGTCCAAAGATTTGAGCAATTGAAATCTCATCTAAGGTAAGATGTGCTTTCATGCACAATATTCATAAATATTCACAGATTTTATACTGTTTATAGTGAATACTTAAACAAGGTTCCTTTATTGAAATGAGTTTTCAGTACATTTTGTGATTATATATTTTAGTCTATACACACATATATATATCACTGACATACATGGAGTGATATCTTTCAATAAAGTGCGATGTCACAAGTATTTACAATTTGATATATAAACTGAAGGAATTGTTTGTATATACTAGTTCTATCTGCCACTTATACAAAATATTAATTTGTGTTTATTAAAGATCCAGGATAGCAATAACTAATAGTATTTTTTTGTAAAGTGTGAACAGTGAAAATCTCACATAAGGTAAAATATATGTTAAATTTTATTCAAATCTTTGTTAATTATCACAGATTTTTTTATCTTACTTATGATGAATAGTTCAATCTGATTCATTAGTCTAACTTCATCAAAAGTTGTTTTCAGTGTATTATGTGATTTTATTTTTATTTACTTATTGATTTTATTTATTTTTTATTTTTATTGTCCAGCGTCAGGGGTAAACTTTTAGAAAAAATGTGTCTAAAATGGTGCCGCCACTCACAGTTGTAACGACGGCACGACAGTAAAATGTGGGCTATTGTGACTTGAATGTCACAATGGCTACACATCGGTGGGTCAATACCTGATAAAAGACAACGATGGGTT